GAACTGTATGCAGTGGTTGCACAGCTATGTGATACACACTAAAAACCACTGCCAAGTACATTTAATAGGGGTAGACTTTGTGATATAGGAATTATATCTTAAAACACTTTTACAGGGGATAAGGGCAGGTAATGAAGGAGACAAAAGTGCAGGCCTAGAACTTTTTTTCTTCAGGACATAGTGTAAAACAAAGAATTATTATTTCTATCACAAGCCATAAGTTGAAAGATTCTACAGACATAATTATAGATTTCATTATAATGTAAAGTGGACTATTTTATCCCTCTGTAAAATTTCTCTTACCTATTAGCAGATTACCACAATTGGATACAAAATATTTTCTAGGCTCAGCACCCATAGCACAGTGGTTACAGTACCAGCCACATGCACCTAGGCTGGCAGGTTCAAACCCAGCCTGGGGCCAGCTAAACAACAATGATAACTGCAACAAAAAATAGCCCGGCATTGTGGCAGGCACCTGTAGTCCCAGCTCCTTGAGAGGCTGAGGCAAGGGAATCGCTTAAGCCCAAGAGTTTGAGGTCGCTGATGCCATAGCACTATACTGAGAGTGACATAGTAAGTAAGACTCTTGTCTCAAAAAATATATAAATAAAATAAATTAAAAAATTTGGAGGGCAGCACCATATACTGGAGGTGGGGAGTTCAAACCCGACCCCAGCCAAAAACTGAAAAAAAGAAAAAAATATTTGGAATTAGGATGAAAAATACATTTCCTAGTGAGAGACATTTATTTTTATACTTGGAGAACCAAATAATTAAAAAGGCAAGTCAGTGTTATCAACCAAAGTAATTAATAAAACCACTTTAATTTTTTTTTTTTTGAGACATTTTGACTTTGTTGCCCTCAGTAGAGTGCAGTGGTGTCACAGCTCACAGCCACCTCAAACTCTTAGGCTTAAGTGATTCTCTTGCCTTAGCCTTCCAAGTAGCTGGGATTATAGGTGCCCACCAAAATGGCCTCCTATTTTTTTTAAAGACAAGGTCTTGCTGTAATTCAGGCTGGTCTCGAACTTCTGCACTTAAGCAATCCACCTGCCTCAGGCTCCCCCAGTGCTAGGATTACAGGCGTGAGCCACCGCACCCGGTCTTAAATTTAGAAAAACATGTAAGTGTCTAAAAATGGGTCAGCCACACAGAACAAAGTATTTCATTTCCTAATAGTTTTTCTTATCTAATACATCATTCTGCGCTAACAAACTGAGCCATGGTATCACAGTTACCCAAAGACTAGCAGAGACTCCATTTGACAGAATAAAAACCTAAAGTTTTTAAAAGACATGTATTTTCAAAACAGGTCATGTGATCACCCAGCAGTATTATAGTCTGTGATTTATGTTAATACTAACCTGTCTTGAATATTCTTTCTGACAATGAGGAAATAGGATTTGATGAGTCGTTCGATGACCTCACAATCTCGCTGTTCACGAGCAGATAGTTTTCGTGCAACAGGAACTGGCTAAGTGGGGTGAGGAGGAAAAATGTTACGTTGGTGCCATTTTGAAAAGGCAACATTTAATATTCAAAAGTTACATTAAGTTTTTGGGACTTTTTGTTCCTTTTGTCTTTGGAAGTATCCTCCTACGAACTGGGTCTTCTAAACCAGAACTGGGTCTTCTAAACCAAATTCTCGTGGCTTACCACATCCAGCAGATTCACAGCATGGCCTTTCTGTGGACTGGCTGGCATGATTGGAATTGGTTTTGATTTTTCTTCAGCTAGTAACTCTTCTGCTTTTGATGTTTTCAGCATTCCTCTCCAGTTGCCTGTTGTTGGTTCTTGAACAGCATCTCCAACCCCACCACCTCCAGATGCAACCTGAAAAAAAGATGTTCCCAAACCTGTACCAAAGATGTCACATCTGACATTAACTAAACAAAGCTCATTTTCTTTCATAGTAGGCAAGAACACACATCTAGTACTGATCTGCAGTTTAGTCTATTCAGACAGATGATGGGGTCACAAGGAAACAGTGGGTGACATCATTGGAATGCTAAGCTTTATAAATAAGTTCCGTTGTAAATTGCTTGCAAGGTCTCAGTCAATTTAGGTCCTACTGAATTCCTTTTTTCTTTACCATTTGCTAACTTCAAAATTTCTCCTCTTCTCCCATCCCTCAAGTACTAGATTGTTGAAAAAATACAAGCTGCCCTTAAAAGCAAAACTCATTAAAAGCACACACAAGGAAAAGGTCTGCCACTCAGTGTCATTTCTTCAAGTGATCTTAAACACTGCTGCACTGTCACTTCTATCTCCAAACGTAAAGGTTTATATATTTCTCCAGTCAGTTCCTAATATATTGTCAAAAAAAATGCTATGAGGTCAAAGTAGAAACTCTTAAAAAAAAACAAGAAAGAAAACTACACACTATTCTTAGGCTGACAATCACTATAACCTGCCTCAAATGTAGAATGTGACTTAAACACAAATTCTCCTGAGAAAGGATCTGCTGAAAAAAAAAATCTATTACTACCATTAATCACCAGTGCCTTTGTGACTTTATTTTCTAGGAAATATGTTAAGTGTCTTGACATTAAAAAAAAAAAATTACTCTGGCTGGGTGCGGTAGCCTATAATCCTAGAACTCTGGGAGGCCAGGGCAGGTAGATTACTTGAGCTCAGGAGTTCGAGACCAGTCTGAGCAAGAAGGAGATCCTGTCTCTAAAAATAGAAAATTTGTGTGGCAAGCAAGTGCCTGGAGTCCAAGGTACTCGGGAGGCTGAGGTAAAAGGAACTCTTCATGTTTTTTTGTTTTTTGGGTTTTTTTTTTTTTCAGTTTTTGGCTGGGACTCGGTTGGAAACAGCCACCTCTGGCATATGGGACCAGTGCCCTACCCTTTTGAGCCACAGGTGCCACCCGGTAAAAGGAACTCTTAAGCCCAAAAGTTTGAGGATGCTGTGAGCCATGGCACTTATAACCAGAGTAACAGAGTGAGACTCTGTCTCAAATAAAATAAAATAAAAAATGACTGTTATAATAATGGGTGAAACAGATAGTTGATCAACATTTAGATTTTTTTGATGTTCCTTAAGATCTTATAATCTAGAGCCAGGCACAGTGGCTCAGACCTATAATCCTAGCATTCTGGGTGGCCAAGATGGGTGGATTGTTTGAGCTCAGGTGTTCAAGACCAGTCTAAACAAAAGCAAGACCCCATCTCTAGAAATAGCCAAGCCCTGTGCTGGGCACCAAATAGTCCCAGCTACTTGGGAGGCTGAGGCAAGAGGATCACTTGAGCCCAAGAGTTTGAGGTTCCTGTGAGCTGACGCCATGACAAAGTGAGACTCTGTCTCAAAAAAAAAATCTTAATTGGTGCTTGTGACTCAGTGGGTAGGGCACCAGCTCCATATACCCAGGGTGGCAGGTTGGAGCCTGGCCCTGCCCAAACTTCAATAAAAAAATAGCCGGCGTTGTGGCAGGTGCCTGCAGTCCCAGCTACTCAGGAGGCTGAGGTAAGAGAATCACCTAAGCCCAGGAGTTGGAAGTTGCTCTGAGCTGTATGATGCCATGGCACTCTACTGAGGGCGATAAAGTGAGACTCTTTCTCTACAAAAGAAAAAAATCTTATCTAAAAGGATGATATAAATTTAACAGAAGAGCATTATAGCAGTTGTTAGAAAAATGGCAGCTAGATGGTATCTTTCAGCATCAAAATAACGGCCAACATCTTTCTTTAGTGTGTTAGTTAATGTAAGCTACTTCTCGATATAGGCAGTACATTTATATTATACATTAACTTTCAAATGTGTGTTAACCATACATGAATAATACTGCAAATGAAATCTTAAGGAAAGTTAGCACATTCACATTGTGATGCCATGAATGAAATAAAACTTGTACAGTGATTTAGATGGTTCTTTTAACAGCTGAGCACACAGAACTGAGAGAAGATCAAGACACAAGGCTTTGAGGTTAAGAACCTTAAATATGGACAACACAAGGAAAGAAGGTAAATGGCAGAAAAGCTAGAAATAGAAATGGGTCTGAATAATTTATGTATTATTTAGTTTTCCCCTAAAAGGCTTATCAAGAATTGACAACAGTGTCAAACTCTTAGTCTTCCTTTCTGTTTTGGGTTTGCTTAAGTTTTTAAAGTACATATGAGGCTATAGATTTAGGGTGATAAGTACAGACTAATTGCAAGCATAAAAAAGAAGTGCTAGAGGATCATACATTAGTACTGAACAGATCTCAAAAATCTGGAAAGAGGAAATATCCAAAAGTACAATTTCCATTTCTGAAATCTTAATTTCCTACCAAACTCTAAGTTCAAAATTACTCTTCAACAGAGAAAATTGTGGGAAAGCTTATTATTGTTACTAGTTAAAACTAGAATTAATGCCATCTTACATGGGTTAGATAAAAGAAACATTAAGAACATAACAGACAATAAGAGATAGATGCCACTGAACAAACAGGTTCTTCAATGGTTTTAAAGACAGTGTTTCAGTGAGAACCAAAGGTACTAACATTTCCATTTTGAAGCAAGAGACTCACATTTTTAGTTTCTCTTCTGCTGTCCTGAATTAACTGTTAAAAGATATGTTAAAACATGCAATTTAACAAAAAGCAAAATTTAAATACCAATGCCTTGAAATTCAAAAAGTGCAGGATAATTAAATTACTTCTTTTTCTGTGTGCATTTCTATATTGTAAGTAAAAGCATGTCAACAATATTTATAAAGTATACATTGTTAAGTAGTCTTAAAGTTTGTATTACACTAAAATGATCTGACCATAGCACAATATTCCATGTTACTATTCTTCTATCCAGTGTACTGTTTCCAGAAGATTATGGTGCACAAAACAACTAGGCATGCAGGCTTAGATTAAGAATCAGAACAGACCTTGCCATCAGCCTCAGCAGAAGCAGCAGGGGAGGGCTCCTGGGAGGCAGGTGCCAAAGCACTTGGAACTTTAGAAGACTAAAGGCAAAAAATGCACGGAAAAAAAAAAATCAAGGATGCCAAAAATGCATTCAGAAACATTCTATAAGTGTGAATTTTTCCCCTCTGTAACAAAACAGTAAAATAACATGAAAAACGAAAGCAATCACGGGAAATGAAAATTGTTTGCCCTGCCTATTTCTGTAGCGTCACCATTGTGAAGTGTTCCTCAGATGAGTAAGTAGGAGAAATCCAAAAGCTTTGTTTTTATCTTTGTTCTTTGATAAAGATTCTTTTCTGGCAAAGAATTCAAAATAACAAAATTTTATACACACGTTCATATATGCAACTATCATAGGTATTATTGGTAATTAAAATCTGTTATGTGGATATTGTCTTCTGTCTCTAGAAAAATCATATAATAAAGTCATTAGGCATTTCAACTGATTTTACGAAGTTGATAAAGGGGCTGACTGAGTTTTTTTTTAAAGGCAACTTAATGCTTAAAAGCCACCTTTAAATATTTATTCCAGTGTATTCAAAATACTATTATCTTTAAATTTACAAAATCACTGTTTTAAACATGTTATCTTTACTCAAAACAATAAAATAGTTCCAATGGAGTATTAAAAAGAAGAAAAAAATTGCTCTTAAAACTGAATAATACTGAGGTACACCAATCTACCTTTAGGTATTAGGAATGTGCTTTCAAAACAGTTTCCTTTACCTTGTCTCGTGATACAGCTGAAGGTAATTCTCTTGCTAGCCTGTTTCTCCTTTGTTCCTATAAAAAACACAAGCAAGCAAAACAAGTGATTATCAGAGTACTGAGATATATACCTACTAAAAAATGTTCATCTTAATTGGTAAGTGTGGAATAATTTACAGGTGTGTCCTCACTGTTGGGACTCATGCCATTATCATATTTTAAAACAAATAAGAAAGCATTTAACCCAATGCCCCTCAGTCTTTTCCTGCCTCAACACAGTGTCAGTAACAGTGGCTTCCTGTACCAGGGATTCTCAAAGGAAGGGCAGCAGATGGACATCTTCTCTCCCTTTCCCACTAAGTTAAGAAACTTTGATTTAAACTGTCCCCACATCAATGTGGAACATAAGCCTCCAGCAGACCGTGTAGAATGTGAAGCACACAGATCACAGAAAACTCAGCAAAGCCTTTACAAATCCCTCCAACATGTTTTGTGTTAAAATTCACACAACTCCTACACACACAACTATAACTAAAAGAAATATCCGTGGTTGAGGTTATCCTTAAAAACTGTTCCATTTTCCTTATCCTAAAGCTATCTCCAGGAAATAAATGTTGTTGACGACTGATACAGTCCTTTCTGTACCTTGACTGCTTCACAGACTGATCCAACTGCCCAGTTATAATTTGCTAATCTTACCAAAGTAACCAATCATAGCACAAAGGTAAAGAAACTTAAATACAAATCAGCATGCACCTGCTCTATTTGAGCACTATGAAAGGGTCAGGATTATGAAGAAATACGCGGATGGTGATGATGCATCTCTCACAGGTGGCGTCAAATGCAGGAGGAACACATTTAGGTTAAATGCAGCCAAAATTGCTCCTAAATATAAAGTATTTCATGGACACTCCCAAATTTACAAAAAAGTTTAACAAACTTGACAATGATGTTTTATGTTTAAGAATTCTTTTTGACAGAAATTTGACCCATTTTCATATGTTCATGAGGTTAGCCAGTGATAGAAAATATAGGTGATAAAAATATATGGATATTGCTCTTTAGAATAAAGGGTATGTATAAATGTACATTTTGAAGAGGGATACAAAGCAAAAGGCAGGGAGTCTAAAGAACAACTATTCTCATCCTAGTTCTGTTTATAACTTTCAAAGCCAAATGAAAACAATTTTTAACACTTTACTTTATATAGTTCAGCCTGAATAAGCTATAAGGTCCTGACTGGACCTTAGGTGGCCCTGGATCCCACAACCTGGCTTTAAGTAAATAGGTTACCAACTCTTTCTAATCTTGGGGTTTTCTACCCTCAGAGGGCTATGGCAAAGATTAAATGAGAATATTCACATGAAGTTCTTTGGCACACTTATTAAAACCAGAGACATATTCACTGTAGAAAAATACTAATCCAAAACTATAATACACGTGACCTTGTCACTATAACAGAACTGCTCTAGATATGTGTTTTCCATAGTTGGTTTTCATGTTAAAAAAACTAAATCCTTTAAGCAAGTGTCTACATGCTAATTTTTAACATAACTGTTAACTAGTGTAGTTTGAGTGCTTTATTCATGTATGTATTTTGGAATTTTTTATGATAGTAATAATCACCCCAGCTATGTAACAACAACCCCCCAAAAAAAAAAAAACCTAGCTCCCTATACCTATTTAGTAGAAGGTACTTGTTTCCCATTAATAGTGCCCTGCCAGGTTAGCACCAAAGGAGGAATAGATGTTATCCCCTGTGGGCCTCAAGCTCCTCATCTTTTTTAACTATAGTTGAAGTCAATAACCCAGTGTCCCTTCCAGTTCTCAATGGCATATTTAAAATTTTCTTTCCACCATATGCAGAAATAGGAATTTGGTATAGGAGTAGAGTCTCAGGTCTTACTGGATTCAGAAATAGCAGAAAAACAGTGTTCTTAGATAAAAGTGGAAAAGAAAAAATGAGCTCTCTCCACCAGCCTTGGCTCTGAGATCTTACACAATTTGTTATATTAACATCAAAAGGAAAAAAAAAAAAATCAATGAAATGTAGTCACCCTAGTAGTGATGAAAAGAGCCCCTGTTTTCCCAAATTTATAGAAAGATGGGTAATTCTTAAATGCTTCTTTTACAATTTTCAGAGCCAAATGAAAATAATTTTTAACACTCATTTTATTTTACACACTTCAACCTGAATAAGCTATAAGTCAGTGAAATTAAACCAGGCAGTTCTTCAACACTAAATCAGTAAATTCCCAGATTCTCTCTTGAATTCCTCTGAAAGTAGGAATAATGCCTCCAGCTGATTTTGAGAAAAGTTAAGAAAACTTAAGAAAACTTTCTTAAGAAGACTTAAGAAAACTTTCTTAAGAAGACTTAAGAAAACTTAACTTCAAACTTAAGAAAAAATGTTCCCTGGCATAAAATAGGCACTAATATGGTACATGTCTATTTTATAGTTATCTCATGTTAAAAAGTTTGGTATGATTGAATTACAACAGATTTTCTACCTGTGAAAAAGAACAGTTTCAGTTATATTTACCTCGATATTATTGTTCATCAGCCCACAAGCATCAGCAAAGTCTGGGTGTTTTGTGTTGATATAAGCCAATTCAATTGCCACTAAGTTATGGACCTACAAAAATAAAGTTAAGCTATCTTCAGAATTAGGTCAACCCAATTTTAGATTGAGAAACTTACATATAAAATCTATTAAACACAATACTGAAAAAGTACAGGAAATCCATGCCTAAATACTCAATAATTAAACTCCAAGTGAAAAACTATATGCCAAATGATAATTTGCTCTAATTTCTAAATTATTTACATCTCAGCATCTAGAATTCCATTACTATGGGGAGGAAAGGATTTTACTGCTAGGAAAAAGAAAATTGTCTACTTGGTACAAATTAAGTTCCAGGGCTTTATGCAATTCTTTTATTAAAACCTCAGATCATCCACTCTTCCATGTCAAAGTTTTAGTTCAGGGTCTACAATAAGAAAACAGTTCATAATCAGACATAAATAAACGATGTTAACTTTATTTGGGTAAAGGATACATTTAAGGACCTGAGAGAGTGACTGATGAATGTTAATTATGAAGCACCTAGTTAAAATATCTTACGTGGTTCAAAATCCTTAGGGGATAATAATCAAAAAGAAAAGTTGAAATTAATTTCTCCAGCCCTCTATAGAATTTCTAAGACTTACAGAGAGAATAAATTTAAGTCCTTTACTATGTCCTCTGCACTGTCCTGACAAACCTGTCATCAGAACAGCACTTACAGACTCAGAACTAGGGGAAAGGAGTCTATTCAAATGAAAATCCAGTGATTCTGGTGAATCAGAGAGCAGAGTCTGAGTGCAGGCTAAGTTCAGTCCTACACATCTGAATCTGAGGTTTATCCTTGTTAAGGAAACAACCAAGCAGCGGCACTTACATTCTATACTTCCAAGGATGGTTTTGTACTCTTAGTAACCTCCACTGGGGCTCACCATCCTGAGCCAGGGACCCAAATGCACTTTTAATGACCATAAAGAAAGAAAAAACAAAAAACAAAAAACCCAGCCAACAATTAGAGGCATAAGGGCAATTTTAAATGCTTATCCCATATTTCTGTCAATTTCAGCATTTTTATTACTGTGGATAGCAGCAACCCACAGAATAGTAGCAAGCAACTATCATATTACAGTACTAGGTCATCGAACAAGCAAACTGTACCAGTGGCCAGACTATCTTGGTGTACTTCATACATTAAAAACATGCTATAAAGGTTCAGTTTACTAAGGCTAAAGGCAAAGATAGTTTTCCACTACACCAGTGCACTATGTAACAGAGCAAAGCTATCTACAACCCTTAGCAATAACTCCAATCTCGTGAAAGCCTGTGGCTATAGGCTAACAATGATTAAAATATGAAGAAAAAATATGCCAAAATTATTGAAATTTCCCATTAAAATAAGACTGAAACTCACTTTTTTTGTTTTTTGAAACAGTGTCTCACTTTGCCACCCTGCATAGAGGGTGGCATCATAGCTCATAGCAACCTCAAACTCTTAGGCTCAAGCGATGCTCTTGCCTCAGACTCCCGAGTAGCTGGAACTGTATACAGGCACCCACCACAATGCCCAGCTAGTTTTAGAGATGGGATCTCACTCTTGCTCAGGCTGGTCTCAAACTCCTGAGTTCAAGCAATCTACCCGCCTTGGCGAAACTCACTTTTTTCCTCCCAATACACTCAGAAACATTATGCCTAAACTCTAATCATATAATGCTGTATTAAAAAGCAGCCAAACAAAACTTTAAACTTTGATTACTGATGATTACAATGATGATTTGTGACCCAGTAGCTCACCATTTCATTTGTAACAGGCAACCTTTTACGAAGAAGACAAGTCACTACTTCAACTATGGCATCATGAAGTTTAGGAAACCGTAACAATTCCTATAAATAAAAGGAAAAAAGAAAGTGCCATTTATTTCACTTAATGCTCACTGAAATTCTGAATTAGATCTGGAAGTTTCATGTACAAATACAATCTCAAATCCCTTTTAGATAAGAGAAAGAAACAGAGATTTTAACTTCTAGCCTATCTTATACATTCCTACTCACCGTATGAAATTGCCACCTCACGTCCTGTCCTAGTTCCTCTGAAATTTGCCGTTTACATTTCTCTCAGGTTACCTGTGTACTATAGTTGCTACAATGCTGAATGATCCTCTGCATCTCCTCATGAACAAGTTCCACACAGCGGAGGCTGGGCTCTTCTAGACGTTTAATCTGCCGCTTGACCAGTAATTCAAATGAAACCTCAGGCACAAACAAAGCAGGACGAGGACCCTGAAAAAATAAAACTTGCATCTCTTACTGTAGGTACATGGAATTTCAGTTCTTCCCAAAGTTTAAAAACTAAATCACATTTTTTGGTAATTTTCATAAAAACTGCTTCTTAATTTCAAGTATGGGAGGAAAATGAACTATACAATTAATTTTAAAAGATACAGTGTATGGGTAAGAAAATGCCCCTCATTTTTTAAGTCTGAAAGTTAAGCATACTCACAGTAGCATTTCTAATGGCAGTCAAAATGTCAATAGTGTTAAGGCCACCAAGGGGGTCAACAGATTCTAAGGTTCGCCCGAAAGTCTCATGGAAAATGTAACAAATTCTAGCACCACCACATCTGAAAGGCAATGAAGTATATGGTTTCTACAAGTTAGAAGTCTACTAGCTTTAAGGTCACCTCATTTACTGAAAAAAACCTTAGATAAACACAGTCCCTTCATATTTCCATGTGTTCTCAACTAGCAGTCATTTCATGATGTATGGTAACTGTTGTGACATAAAACGTCAGTTAACTAAGAATTGCTAAACACTTCTTCTCTGCCCTAGTTTTCTTCAACTAGACCATGAGCTCCTTAAGGACAGGAAACAGTGCCTTATTTAATTCTGTTGATTCACAATCTAAAATGGAGGTCTGCAAACACTTACTGTAAAGAGGCTTTTACAGGCCATACGGTCTCCTGCAACACTCAGCAAAAGTAGCCAGGCAATATGTAAACAAATAAGCATAGCTGTGTTTCAATAAAACTTCGGCACACTAAGTTTTGTTTTATGTAATTTTCACATGCCCTGAAATACTCTTCTTTGAATTTTTTTTCATTTTTCTGTTTACAATCATTCTTAACTGGTAGGCTGTCATCCACTCCTGCTTTCTGACAGATTAAATCTCTTGATCTAGCACCTTATATTTCCCATCTTGTTCAATAACTAAAAACCCGGTGTTATTTTTTAATTTAAGTCCAGTTGAAGTCTACAAATATCTTATTAATGTCTCCCCAAATCATCCCTCCTCTCTATTTTTACTACCACTATTCAATAGTAATTCAGATAAAAGGCACTAGTCCAACATTACGTTTGCTGAAGTAACCACAAAAGGACAAATACTGTATGATTCCACTTACATGAAATATTTATAATAGGCAAATTCATACAGACAGTAAATTACAAGTTGCTGGGATTAGAGGAGAAAGGCATGGAGAGTAATTGCTTAATAGGTACAGAATTTCTGTTGAAGTGATGAAAAATTTTGGAAATAGATACTTATGATGGTTGCACAACATTGTGAATGCAATTGATGCACCTGAATCATATACTTAAATATGGTTGAAATTACCAGTAATTGGTCCTTTCCCTTCTGTAAATAATTGTTAAATTCTCCTAATCCCAGAAAGAAATATAATTTGGTCTCTCTTCAATGTCCCAAAAGGTTGATTATTAGGCAGACACAGATGATTAATTTATTAGCTATTTATAAAATGGCCCATATATGTTATATGCCCTTTTCTGAGAATTACATTTAACAATAAGAAATGCTTAAATAAAATAATTATACTTAAGTCTTATACCACCTTAACCTACTTTACCCACTAAACTCCTTAAGGGCCCACTGTAGAAATCTTTGTTTCCCTCAATATGCCATTTATATAATGACCATTCAATAATTAATCTGTTAAATAATTTACTTCTCTATAGAGTTAACTCATATAAAAGACTACCATGGTCACACTAAGGTACACCAAAATATACATACAACAAACACAGACACACACACTCAAATTCAATATAAAATTGGTGAAACCTGAATAAGCTCTATAGATTGCACCAATATTCATTTTCTTATTTTGTTATTGTACTATAGTTATACAAGATGTCAACAGTGGGGAAGGTGGGTTGGAAGATGCACAGGACTTCCCTGTATATTTCTTCGTAACTTCTTAACAGCCTATAATTATTTCAAAGTAAGTTTTTTTAATGAAGATATAGAAAAATGGACAAACAGTATAGTATGCTAATAGTATGCAGTATATTACATATAATGAAAGGCTTTGAGCACATGATACCCTTTAACCTAGTAATTCTACTTCTAGGAATTTACCATCAGGGCAATATCATGCCCAGAGATAGGTGCAACATACAACATCGTTTATATATGTGCATGGTTGAAAACAAACTATCCAATAGGAGGGGACTGGTTCAATGAATGAGGGCATATCTAAAAAGTAAAATACTATTCTCATGTCCAGAATGATAATATAATCTCTAATATAAGCTAGAAAGTTATTTGTGACATGTTATTTTAAAGAAATGATTACAAAATATCATGTATATCATCTGATTTTTAAAGAAGTATATAGTACAGGTATTTATATGGATTTGTACAGGTATTCGTATGGATTTGTTAGGAATCATGAGTAATTTTATTCTCTCTCTCTACCTATCCTTCCCTCTCCTGCTCTCTCTTTCTTTCTCCCTTCCCTCCTTCCTTTTTTCTTCTCTTTTCTTTCTTTCCTTCCTTCCTCCTCTTCTTTCTTTCTTCCCTTTCCTTTCTTTTCTTTCTTTCTGACAGGATCTGAACATGTTGCCCAGGTTGACTTTGAACTCCTAGGCTCAAGAGATCCTCCTGCCTCAATCTTCCAAGTAGCTGAGACTACAGGCATGCACCATGTGTAATTTTAGTTTTATGTTTTATTTCTACTCATCTGCATTTTCTAATTTTTCATGAACAATTACACTATATATATTAATGAAAAATCTTTTAAAATCAAGAATTTTTTTTTTTTTTTTTGCAGTTTTTGGCCAGGGCTGGGTTT